ATGTTTCATGAAACATGTCACACACTACAACATTTTAGCTAAGGCTAATTCTCCAGTTCGGCTTATACACAAAACACAGTGACTGAACACAACAGAACAAATCATGTTTGCTCACAGAACAGATTTGTTATGTTGAGTTTGTTTGCGTTTTACATTTTAAAAGATTTAAAATCTTTAAGAATGTGCACAGACCTTCATTTAAAGGTGATAATCTCCAGAAAAAAGCCTCGGGAAGAAACTTTAAATCTGAATTAGCTCCAAGGAGTTTCTCCCTTAGTGACTTGTTTCTGATTGTGTTGGATTGAACTTAAAAACCGAAGCTTTTCGTGTTCTTAGCTATTTCCTATTTCACCTCATTGGTCTAAAAATACTTTTTGATAAGGAATTAATTATCTGCAAATAATGTGCCATTTCTGAGTGTGTGTGCTGTTCTAGTGACTGGTGGAGTAATCATGTAATAATTCCTTATGACTAGATTTTGTATTTAATTTTGTATATTGAAGTGGACATGTTAAGAGCAATTTGAAAGAAGAAATGTAAAATATGATAAAAACACATTTTTGTGTTTATTTAATTCCTATTCAAGACACTTAAGATAAAATAAGAATAACTATGGTGTTACTATAGATATATTACAGATTTGTTTAACATTTTTGGTTGGTGGTGTGCCTTGTGATTTTTCTATGAAAAAAGTACCTTGGCTCAAAAAAGGTTGAAAAACACTGTTTTAAGGAGTTTCCTGTGAGTTTGACGGCCATTTTTCCTCTTTTTTGTTCCAGTCATGTCTGCCGGAGGAGAGAAATCCAAACCTGCTTCCCAAACCGACGGGAAAGCCGCCCAGAGCAAAACGGCCGAGATGGGAATGATGTCCTACAAGGTAGAGTCCATCACAGGGACACACAGAGACACGCAACTACCCACAACCACACACACTCACACTGAGGTAGAGTCCATCACAGGGACACACAGAGACACGCAACTACCCACAACCACACACACTCACACTGAGGTAGAGTCCATCACAGGGACACACAGAGACACGCAA